AAGCCTTGAGATAGGAAAATATGTGAAGAATAAACTCTACTCAGTTCAACAAAGTAATGAAACCATCGGGTACAGAAACAAGAGAGAAGTACACATGCAGAGAAAAGCTAAATCACACTGAAGCACAGACAGCCATGCATCAGAGTCCTTAAGCTCCGTTATATCAACTGTTCCTGTCAAGTCCTGAAATACTCCGCCTCTCTCTGGTTCTCATATACATATCCTTATGATAAGCCCTACAAAAAATAGCTGTTCCTTAAAACCACAAAAGCCACACTTTCCTTAACCTTGTCCCATGTTATTTATTCACTTATTCTGTACAGCTATCCAATACATGGTCATTTTACCTGTAAAGCAATCTCATACTTTCACCAGGCTGTTTGCTCAGCCTGAAATGCTCTCCTCCATTCTCTCTGCCTATTTAAATCCTATTTATTCTAATTTCTCATGCTCAGAGCACCATTTCCTCTACTAATTATGGGTTTCTAGTTATTGCATCCGTGGGTATCCCTAATCTACCAGAACTGCAATTGTTTAATATGCTAGCCACATGTAGCTAATTAATTCAAATTAAATAAAATTAAAAATCCAGTTCCTCAGTTGCATTAGGCACGTTTCAAGCACTCAGTAGCCAGATGTGGCTGCCACCTACAGCGTTAGACAGCACAAATACAGAACATTTCCACAGAAAGTTCCAGTGAAAAGCTCTGCTCTAGAATGAATTTACAATCTAGGTCCTGTGGCACTTCCGTGTGCTACAAATGGATTCTCAAGAGACTTTGGGACATTTTTGCTTGCTGGGTCCATAATATTAGAACCCATATGCAACTCTGTATTAGTAAAGGAAACCCTACACATTTTCCCCATGACTTCTACCTACAACCTGATGTGAAACCAATTAAGTTTTGGGGGAAATTACCATCACTATATCTTCAAATATTGTTTCCATCTTATTTTCTCTTCTTGTTCTGGGGCTCCAAATAAGCAAGTGTTATACTTTTCCTGTGTCCTGCTCTTCTCTTTTAGTTTTTTATTCTGTATTGCTTTAGTTTGGAATTTTTCTAACGACCTATCTTTAACTCTACTTATGCTACCTAATGCTATGACCGATCCATTAAACTCATCTAATGAGTTCTTAATTTCAGACAATGTTTTTTTACAGTTCTGCAATGTCTATCTGGTTCTGTTTCAAAGATTTTAATTCTGTTAGAATTCTACAGCTTTTCATCCACTTTGTCATCTTTTACATGTTGAAAATCTTAACTACTTGTCTGCTAATTCTAGTATCTGGATCATTTGTTAGTTTTTCCTCCTGACTAAAGGACAAATCTTCCTCTTTTCATGTCTAGAATATTTTATTTCATGCTGGATACTGTGTGTAAAGAAACTGCTGATGATTTTGCATGGCCCGAGAACGATGTTATAAATATCCAAATGGCCCTTGGCAGAAAAAAAGGTTCCCTACCCCTGCAACAGAGTGAGTGTGTAAATCCCAGGGTTCCTTTTCCACATTTTACACACCTTCTGATGCAGCTGCCATTTCTACTATTTCTCTGACAAGAAGGAAAAAATAAAAACAAACAAACAAAAAACCCAAGAACACACACACACAGCTGGCTCCCCAGTTTTAGAAATATTAGTGATAATTCTCAGGACTCTGTCAACCCACTCATGCGATGTCTGGGCCCCGGAGTAGCTTAAGTCACTAAGTCATGCTGCGCCTCTTCACTCTGCAATCTTCAGTCTCTTTGCCTGGCCATTGTTTTTGATGTTTATTATATGTAATCACATTATTCTTTATTGTTTGCTCTTGGTGAATATTTTTGCTAGTTTTTACTATTCTGTATTCATTTTAAGTATCATTTTAAGGGGAGGGAAATTCTATGAGTTGAATAAGTCCACCATTTTAATTTGAATATACTCAGAGTTTCTAAGACTCTAAAGGTTAAACTTGGATACCTAATTAAGAACTTGCTAACATCATAAGCACTGGACTGCCTGGCGGCTTACAAAGGTGCCAGTTAGAGCAGTCAATTTTTTTCATGCTACCTAAGTCCAAATTTTCACTGTCCCGATGACTCCATGTTTTAAAGATGTAGTATTTTCCTGACCAGCTCACTTGAATTATTAAGTCAGTTAACACTGATGATTATTCTGACATACATATAATATAGGGGGATAAGGGAAAGATCAGTAAATACGACCTTTCAGCTGTGTCAATGTGCAAAATGCTGCTACACCACGCTGGGAGGAAAGACACAAATCTACTTACAGAGACATGAGGAGGTAAGGGGCCTTGAAAACTCCTTTAATAAAAGGAATAAGGGTACTTGCATAAACTGCTTGGAAATTGCTTGGAAAATGGGGAGAAAACATTCTCTAAAGGTTCTTACCAAAACCATGAAGGTTCTGGAAGAAACTTCTGATTTCCTTCGCAGAAAAATTTATTTGACCATAATAGACAAGTTTCCTAATAAGCTACACTAGGACATAGGAATTGAAGACTTGAAATGAGTATGTTAATAAATACCTTCCATAATGGTTTCGTAGGATTTTATGGCCAGAAGAGTATCTATTTCTATTTTTGAATGAGGAAACAAAAATCTAAAAAAATTTAATTTGCTCCACATAATAATGACATGACTATTTCACAATCAAGTATCATTTACAACATCCATATTCTATATTCTAAGTTCCCTAATATTTTCTACCTTTGCAGTGAGTACTCTTTCCAAGACAGTATTTCAAGTGTAAATTATATATTCTTTCCATGACTTAAAAAAAAAAAAATTGTATGCCAAGAGCAAACGCAACAGGATAATAAGGTAATTAGCTGTTAAATTGCTTTTCCATAGTTACTCAGCAGTAAATATTAGCAGCATTTTTTATTATTCCAACAAGCACTCTACCTGGCTATAGTTCAGCTGTATACCTGGCTAAACCAATTATTTTCACACTTTGCTTTTATAAAGAATACTGTACTGTTAAATATAATCCTAACCACCAATTCCTTCATTTTTCTTTATTGCCATTTAGATTCAGAGCCAGCTCCACTATTAAGTAACAAAATCAATGCAATTATAATCTCATTAGTATTTAACCATGGCTTTGCACACTGGCGTAGAATATTTCATGGTAGTTATAAGATCTTTGATAAGGTGCTTTCTCAGGATTTTGGTCTCCTCATCTGTAAATGAGATTGGATTAGGCAATCTCTCTTCTACTTTCTAAAACTTTCTAAATTTTTCTATACATTAACTTTGTCTATACTATACATTTTATAGTAATTAGTTGACTCTTACCAATTTCTAAAAATCCCTCCTCATTCTTCAGATACATATTTTCATTTTGATTTACTTACTTCTAACAAAATATCTCAATGATGTTTAAATGAGAATATTAAAGTCTGGCAGTATCCATAGCAGAAAATAAATTAAAGAATTTATATGTTACATTTTTGTTTCTAATCAAGTCCAAAGAATAAATGTTTTTTAAAAAACTCATGCCGCCCAGCCGAGCGTGGCTCAGAGGTTGAGTGTTGACCTGGGATCCAGGCGAATGGGGTTCGATTCCTGGTCAGGGCACATGCCCGCGTTGCGGGCTCGGTCAATGACTCTCTCATCATTGATGTTTCTATCTCTCTCTTTTCCTCTCCTTTCCTCTTTCTGAAATCTATAAGATATATTTAAAAATAAAAAAAAATTTTTTTAATTAAAAATAAAAATAAAAAAACCTCATGCCTTGCCCTGGCTGGTGTTGCTCAGTGGTTAGAGTGCCCACCCTTGCACCAAAGGATCACGGGTTCGATTCCGAGTCATGTGCACACACCTAGGTTGGGGGTTTGCTCCCCAACCACCAGGGTGCATTCTCCCGGAGTGAATTGGGGAAGCAACCAGTTGAGGTGTCTCTCTCACATTGATGTTTCTCTCTCTCTCTCTCTCTCTCTCTTCCCCACCTCCCTTCCACTCTCTCTGAAGGAATGAAAAAAATATCCTTAGGTGAGGTGTAAAAAAAGAAAAATGTCATGCCTTAACTACAAGTACTTATGGTTAATATAACAAAGAGTGGACAAATTTTATCAACAGAAACATTATAAAAAACTCAATGATGTATTCCACAGGTATTAGTTATTAGCAACTACTAATAATCAATAGAAAGATAAGACTTATTAATACATATAAATAAACTAAATGGGGTTGGGATATATAGATGAAATAGATGATAGTTAAAAGCTTTGCTAATTGGAACTTTCCAAATGGGAATATAAAGAACATAAAAATTAGAGTTCTCAAAGTTGTATCGAGAAATAATTATTTGATACTTAAAGGATAATTGTAAATTTTACATGAAAATTTTGTTAATGAATTCTCCACCATAGAAGAGTATCTGGCACATAGTAGATACTCAATAAATGTATTTGAATAAATGAATGTGTTCAGATTGAGTTTCATTTTGAAAAATGAGACCAAAAGTTTTTAAATGCTTGAAAAACACATTATTGACTACTTATAGGCACAAATGTTTCAAATGAGAACAGGAAAACTTATTTTAAACCAAATGAAAATATAAAAAACAGCTCTAGTCAATGAACAATGTCAAATGTTCTTGTCTCAAATTACAATTAATTAGATTCTGCCATTATGTCTTTAAACCGAAATTATGTAACCTCAAGATTCAGCTTAAGATATAGAAATGTAAATGAGAAAACATGTCCCTCTATTTTCCCCTTCATTCACTGAACAGATATTTCTTGCACACTAAGAGTAGTGGGTGCTAATTCCTTTCCATTTTAGATCCACTGGGATGAATAAGCCAGAGACAGACTTGCCCAGGCTGTATAAAAGAACAGTTTCTGTACATCAACAGTCATAACTCATTTTCCACTTAATTGCTATTGCTCCATGCACAAAGTATATTTACCATATCCAGCTCAGTTTTATATATTTCTTCTAAAAATAAAACAATTTCTATCATTTTCATGAAAATACATTAAATTGTACCTTAATTTTTTTCTCTTCCATTGACTTATGGATGCGTTCTCTCAGTGGTTTCACCAATGAATTGTTCACCTGTATTGGAGAGCTATGTGCAAATAAAGCAAAAATTTATAAATTAAAAAAGCTTTTTTTAATCTAGTTTTTACCCCTCCCCTAACCAAAAGCAGTTCCATAATAAAAGACTACGAAATCTAGTTGTTTATAAAACTATATAAAAATACCAGTGTCTCTATTCTCACAGTTCTAAATATTAATGATTTGCTTAACTGATTCAGTCACTAGATATCTGAACTTGTAGTATGTGTAATGCACTGTGTAACATACTATGAAAAACAAAAAGTTCATTCGTTCATTGGCCCTGAACTCAGGCATCATGAAGTCTAAGTAAGAAAAATAAGACATCCACCTAACTAAATTCAAAATAAAACAGGATAAGTGCCATAGCAGAGGAATTCAAAAGAGAAAAGCATAGTTTATAAAGAGAAGGGTTGGAGAAGCAGACACTGGAGCTTTGCAGCCAGACAAACCCAGATTCCCCAGTAAATTCCTTTTTGGCTCCACAGAGCCAGAGTCATAACCCCTTCGACTTAAAAGACCATTATATAAGAATAAAGAATCACCTATTCTAAGAAAGTCTAGTTTATATTGGTATATTGACTTATATTCATATACCACACTGTCCTTAATTTTATCATTTCAATGGATACCATTAAAAATTTACTTTACCATGGACGGTCACCTGTCTGCACAATGCCAATGGGAAGTGCCAAGGTAACTGTAAACAATTAAAATGTGTTTGGCCACATGGTCAAATAAAAAAAAAAAAACCTCTCTAAAATGGATGTGGGGATTCATTTTTTTTTTAAATATTTCATTAACACAAAATAACTTTCTCCAAGAAAATGGTAGAATGGGGAAAATTTTAAATCATTTATATTTCTACCTAAAAGGCAAATCTTGTTAAACAGAAAGCAAAAGGAGAAAGAAAAGAAAAAAAAAGATTCATTTTCTTTATGCTCATTTCTGGGATTCTAACACAGGGTATAAGTAAATCATTGATAAAATAAATTTCCACTGTTAGAAAAATATTTGGGCATTCTTAAAGTAGAATGTGAAAGAATTATATTATGCCCAGATATAAAAGGATAATCATGGGAAACTGGTGAAGAAGACAAGATTTACAGGACAAAAGTGAATCATATCATATAAATCATTAATGTTTCTGTTTAAAGAGAAAAGATAGTGAGGCACTGGAGAGACCGCATGAAGCAATCATGCATGGATGTGTAGGAACAATTTTAGACTAAAATTAGATTTCTAAAAAGTAGCTCAAGCAGAAAATAGAAAAGATCAAAGAGTAGGAAGACTTTGTAAAAATTCTCAATGTACTAAATATAATTTTAAATGGTTGTTCTAACATTTTTAATGTTTCTATAAATGAACGCTTGTTAATTAAAAATATCATCAACCTATTCAATTTTGATCTAACTGTTGTTAAAACAGGACAGTATCAATGAAACATCAACCTAATTCAGCATTTTCCTTCACAATGTGAGAAAGAACCAGTAAATGCCAATTCCCATGGAAGTTCAGTGTATGCTCTCTCCTTTTCGAAGGCAGAGCAGCACAGTCCCTGTAGTGGAGACCTTGGGCTTCAGAGGAAGACCCTTTGCTGCTTGCTAACAGCGTTCTTAGGCAAATTACTTAACATCTCTCTCAAGCCTCTAGTCCTTCACTTATAAAGTGAGGATATTATTAAAAGAGGTTGCTGTGAGGGCTGAGATAATGTAAGTAAAAACATTTGGCAAAGTTTTTTTTTTCTTAATATATCTTTATTGATTTCAGAGAGAGGAAAGGAGAGGGAGAGACAGAGATAGAAACATCAATAATGAGAGAGTCACTGATCGAGCCCGCAACCCGGGCATGTGCCCTGACCGGGAATCGAACCCCAATCGCCCGGATCCTAGGTCGATGCTCAACCACTGAGCCACACCCGACTGAGTGGCAAAGTTCTTGACATACAAAGGAAAGTAAATAAATTTCCAAAGCAAAAAACGAAAACAAGAACCAAAACAAAAAAAATACCTGTCATACTCTTATAAAATACTACCTTTTCTATATAACTCCCTCATCTTCAAGTGCTCAATCTCCTTTTAACTAACTTTTGTTTTCTCTCTTCATACTTGCCTATGGTCTCCAAGTTTCCTACCATAGTTAGTACTGGTTTTATAATCAATGAGGTGCTTTTCCAAAAACTCCTTTTATAGACTAGAGTTAACATTCACATACATACAGCTTCCACATGACTTACCTGAAAAGCGTAAGAATAGAAGTTCCATTGTGATGAATAGTGTTTTCATCGTCATATAAAAGCTCTGCTTTGTTTCTGGTAGGAGCATTGGCTGCCTCTTCATCCAAAAGAACCAGTAACAGTTTCACGGTATCTCTGCCACAGTATGCAGTGCCATGGTTTATGGCATAAGACTTTGGCTAGAACAAAAAACAATTTTAAGTAAACGCTATAATCACCCTGCCGGGTCAATCAGCTGCTCTCTTCCAGTCCGTGAGCCACTGTTCTCCTTCTTCCTTTGTTGTTTAATAAAAGATCGGCCATGAGAAGTGGCTTTAAGGCATGGGAATATTTCTCCCTCAAGCCAGACTGAAATCAATCTTATCAATTTTCAGAAACACAAACGAATACAAAAAATAGTATCATTAAAGAGGAAGACATAGGGTTCTGGTCAAAATAACACTGGGCTTTAAGTCAGAAAATTTAGCTACTACCTGGCTGTGTGACCTCAGCCTCATGACTTAACCTCTCTGAGTATTTCTTCTCTCTTACACCACAGAGAGATAGGGTTCTGGTGATCTAAATGCCAACCCCACAGGTGGCTGGAAAGATCTCTCAAACACAAAATAAAAAACTAGTGCCAGGTTGGACATGGCCCAGCAGCTGAGCATCAACCTAGGATCCAGGCGATCGGGGTTCGATTCCCAGTCAGGGCACATGCCCGGGTTGCGGGCTGCAGCCAATCAATGACTCTCTCATCATTGATGTTTCTATATCTCTTTCTCCATCTCCTTTCCTCTCTCTGAAATCAATAAAGATATATTTAAAAAAAAGAAAAAAACAGAAAAAGAAAAACTAATTGACATTCATTCATTCAGTAATCACTGATAAGTACAAACTAAGTCCCAAGCACTGTGTTTGAAGTTAAGACTGCCAATATAAAAACCACTGCCTCTAGGAGCCCACAGTCTCCTTGATAAAATAAGTAAGCAATGACTGCATTACAGTGCTCAGTGCTATTTCCAACATAAAGTATACATGGTGCACTGGGAGCACACAAAAAGTAGTGATCAATTTACCCTGGAATCAAGGATGGCTTCATGGAGGAAGACACAAAGGGATAGGAGAGAGCAAGGTACTTTCAGGGGCCAGGCAGGATGACACCACTGAAGAACAAGGTAACAGAGAGAGTTGTGTGAGGCGAGCCTGGGAAGCTCTGTGTATCAGGCAGAGAGGTCCGAAGTCAGTCTGTTATACAGTTAAATATCTCTTGGCTTATTAAGCAAGGAAGTAAAACAGTACTAATTTAGATTTTAGAAAAATGATGGCAATGTGTAAAATATATTCCAGGATAAGAATATTATTAACTCTGAAGACAGCACAATCTGAGGAGACTAATAGTCTAGCTTAGAACTGAAGAAGACAGTAGCTGTAGAGATAAAGACAGACTTAGTGACCGGAGAGAAGAATGAGCGAAACTATACGACATAAAATATTACATATAGATACATGTAAACACAAACTCTGAAGGTATCTCAGCTCAATTTTGATACCAACTTACTAGTTGCATGTGCTGAATAAGTCTGGGAAAGCTGCTTAACCTCAACGTGCTTCAGTTAAATCACTGGTAAAACGGGTAATTAGTGCCTAACCAGTAGGGTTGTTGGATGGTGTGCCTAGATATCAAAGCTGCCCTTTCTGGGACATTCCTCAGCCTTCATCAGTGTAGTCTTGGCCTCCTTTCTCTACTTGGCTGACACAGGCTCAGGCTACCAATGAACTTTAATGTACACCTACACTGGAATTTCAACCAATTAACTACCACAATCTAGTGCTTAACATGTATATTTTTCATTAACACCAGGTAAGTCCATATTGTTTAATACTAATTAAGTAATTAGTATTAAATAATACTCACTGAGAATTATTGAATTGTATTTTTCGAAGATTTCTGATTTGGTGAAAAACATACAATTAAGAACCAGGTTGCCTGCATTTTTATTTCTGGTGACTGGACATGGGAGAGATTGATGCTCTTAATTATCTGAGTTGTGACAATTTCTAATTTATACTGATAGCAATAACCTAGTTGTCATTTGAGCCAAGCTAGTCACAGGAATTGTTAATATACATGGGATATATGGGAGCAACCCAGAATCTCCCCCATCAAATTAATCTAAAAACATGCATTGTTATTGAAAAATATCTAAAAATAGTCCCTAAGGAATGTGAATAAATAAGTACTAAAAAATAAGCAAAAGTGTTTCTCTATACACTGGCTGTCACCATCACAACTAATGAAAAGGGGCTTTTGTTACTTGAATAATTATACTGCAACAAATGGATTTTAACACATATTCCAAAATTGTGTTTTAGAGCTAAAAACATGGCAGTCCATTTTTCCTATAATGCTACAGTTATAATACTGTATAATGTTCAAAAATCTATGTTAAAAAAATAACAAGAGAGGCGAATGTCCTAGGAATATTCAGTTAAAAGATTTCTAAGTGTAGGAAATATTCCTAATGTTCACAGTGTGCTGCAATGGAGGTAGAAAATATAAAAACACAGAGATAGAAAAATCCTATAAAAGAAAAATAAATTATTGAATAGAAACCATTTCTGTTGCTGTTCTATAGGGTGCCTAGTACTGAGGTCAGAACCAGAGAAACCAAGTTCTTATTTTATATCTGAGTAAAAGGTAAAATAATCATTTCGTAAGATTATCAAAAGCTATGGGCAGGACACCTGAAAATCTATTAGGAATTATAAACTGCAAGTGCTCCAAGGGATATTGAAAATTATCCAGTGCCCTACACTTCAACAAATACAATTTGGTCCAAAGGTGTTATGATTTATCCAAGTCGAACATAATCCTACATAATCCTACTGAGAAGCTTAAGTTTTCAACAACACAACACAGGAAACATTCTTTTGACATAAGTAGCAACAGCAAACCATTTCTACAACAAACAGAAGAGAAAATGTTCTATACCGAAGGATAATAAAATATAAAAAGCTCATTACCCGTGCAGGACTGATGTCAGTGGTGCTAACAGCTATGTCTCCTTTCTGAGAACTGATAATATTTTTAATCCTCAAATCCAAATCCTGAGCAACTTCCTCTACTGCTTTATAAAAAGGATCCCTGCTGTTCTGGCCTTTAATCAGTTGCATCTTTATCACTGAGAGTATCCGACCCCCTGCAAGGCTGAAAATAGAAATAAGATCACCTTTATAACAATATTACACCACCATGCTCATAAGCTTGAAAATATAATTCTCTGGGTTAATCAACACTTTTCAAAGAATAAGGCTTTGACCTTGAAAATCAAACAGTGACACATATATATAAGAAAAGAATGAGACCCTTAGAAGTAAAATTTAAAAGTTTTTCCAACAGCAGGTCATTTCAACAAGGTAGTTACTTCTTCCTTCATTTGAAAGCTAAAGGGAAATAAATACTTTAGCATATACGATGAGAGATTCAGATGCAATTACATACACAAAACATACTTAAAATATGTGCCTTTAGATACAACTAAGGTAACAAAAGCTACCTGGATACCTGAATCCTACATATCACTTTAATCTTAAAAACAATTCAATAAGTATTATTACCCTTAAATCACAGGTGAAAACATTGGGTCTCAAAACAGTTAAATAGTTTATCCAAGTATTAATACATACTGTTCTGGGCTAGCAAGGAGGTGGTGAGGAAGGAGACTGACCTGGAACACATGATATTGTACTATAATATGAGAAGAGTTATTACATAAAAGAGAAGAGCAAGCTAGTTAATACTGATCTAAAGCAAACCAGAGGCTGGACCAACTATGGCCAACGGATAAGTGTTTTAAAAAACCTTAACTCAATTGTTTCTTTATAGTAAACCTGAACCTGAATAAATTTGGGTTGCAGTTCCTGCTTCAGAAAGCAGGCCTAAAGCCAACATGAGAAATGTATAGCGAGAAGGATTTGGGTCCATTACAAGAAAGAAATTAGAGGTGTCCAGCAACAGAAGGAGACTTTTTGAAGTCAGGAGATCTCCATCCTCAGTGGAAAGGCTGCACTGAGCCAAACAAGAAGGGGTGTGGTCTGAGCGTGGAGTCAGGCTGCCTGAGCACAAATCGCAGCTCCCCGATGTGCTTCCTTGGGTACGCTGTTTAACCTCTCCGTGAATTTTACAGTGCCAGGAAGGAAATTATGAGTTAAGGTTTTCATCCTCACTGCCTCATTGCCAGACTTTATGTTTCAGGGGACAAGCCAGGTTCCCTAATGATCATTGGAAATATAATTGCTCACAGTTAAACAGCTGGTCCAAATAGAGAAGGAAAGTTAGCAAAAAACCACAGAGAATTAAACTGCAATAGTACATTAGACCAGTAGCTCCCAAATTCGTTTGATTGTTAGACTCATACTAACCATTAGTTTAAAAGATCAACTCCAGATCCTACCCTAATGAATCACAATGTCCAGAGGACATTAAATAGTTGCATTGTTTTAAAAGTACCACAGGTGATTCTTAAGACTAGACAAGTTGGGAAACATTTCAGGAAAAATGAGCAACTTGAGAAAGGACTCATGCTTTTTCATCCTCACCTGAGGGTGTTTGTTGATTTTGGAGAAGGGGCTGGGAGAGAAATATCCATGTAAGAAGGAAACATCAGTGGGTTGCCTCCCATATGTGTCCGACCAGACCCGACCTGTAACTTAGGTATGTGCCCCAATAGGGAATGAAACCCCACAACCTTCTGGCGCACGGGACAACGCTCCAACCAACTGAGCCACCCGGCCAGGGCAAAACGAACTGTATTTTAGTAATCTTCATATTATCATTTACTCCTGGCACAGGGAAGAGATGGTTGATATGCTTGTTGAGGAAATTGACCACTATCACATCAACAAAATATTGTTTTTAACACTTAAGTTTTTAACACATAAGATAAAAATATATTTTACTATGATCCATATTATTATTATTTGCAATACAGAAGCACTTAGGGGGTATCCACTGGATTCTAGATACTCTGCGGGGAAATATTACTGAGCTTGGCAGGAATAGGAGGAAATCTCTAAGTACCACCCAATCTCTCCCCCAAAAAAGGAAAAACAAGAGCCAGAGTGGAAAGTTGGAAGCCATGAGTGGTAAGCAAGCAGGATGAATGGGGTTTTCCTGAGGACACAACAAATCTCTAGTAGCACCAAGATCAGGACACAAAGCCCTGGTTGACTTTCAAATTGTGCCTGAAACTTCCAAGGGGGAGAAGCCAGTATGGCTTTTATTAGATTTATTCTAAGTACTTTATATTTTTGATGCTACTTTATAACATTTTCTATTTGGTGATGGTGTAAAACTACAATTGCTGACCTTGTGCTGGGCAACACTGATAAACTCTACTATTAATTTTAATGATTTTTCTTCTGCTTCTTGGAGTTTTCTACACATATAATCATACTGTCATCATCAGTTGCACTTCTTCCTTTTCAATTGTTGTATCTCCTATTTCTTTTCCTTGCCTTACTTCAGTGAGGTGGACATCTAATACTAAGTTGAAAAGAAATGATGAGACCAAGAACTCTTGTCTTGTTCTAAATCTTAAACAGAATCCTAAAATATTTTACCATTACACAGGTTTTCACAGAAACCCTTTATGAGGTTAAAGCCCTTATTCTTAATTCATTTTACAATGAGAGGGTAGCCATGTAGGATGAGTATGTCCTAACAGACGCCTCACCTTGGGCAGTCCTTGGGCTTTGTCCTCTGTCCCCTCAGACTTTGGTGGCTATAAGAATAGATTCTCCAAATCACCAAATTCAGCAAATACTCTGAGAATAAAAGCTGCCCTCCCTTCTTGACTTCCCTTTCTGGCTCTCTTCCTTCCCCTAGTTTTTGTCTGTATTTTCATTGTATTTGCCTGTTTATCAATGCATTTAAGAAGTATTTTAAAAATGTTATCCGGCATTATTAATTATTGTCAAAGGGGAGGGTCAATCAGCCAACCTAGTCTGCCATACATCCGTAATAAGCAGACTCTAAGTATTATATTATGTATACAGGCACTTTCTTTATCAGCTAGTATTTTCCTAATTTTCAATTAAAAGCACAGAAAGTAATTGGGTAAAATGTAGCCAAAATGAAAACACAATTAACATTATGTGCTTTTTCTGGGAATTAATCACTAATGGAAAAGTTCTGAAAAAGATTCAAAAGGATAATAAAATATGAAAGAATGTCTCAGTCAATTAAAAGAACAAAAAAAACCAAGGCTTTGAATGATATTAGGTAAAGTCACCTTTGCCTCCCTTTTCTCATTCTTTCCACAAGAATATGCTAGATTTTTAAAATATAACTCAATGATTGTATTTTATTTAGAAAAAAATTTATAAGACTTGCATTTAAAATATCTGTCAAGGTCAATATCTGACCCCTGGCAAAATACCTCAAACACCAGTGTCGTGACTAGTCTGTTGCTACACATTCACTACGCACTAGCCAACCATTAACTATTCAAATATCTGCTCAGCGACACAGTGGCTTAATTCAAACACTTCTAAAGCCTAGAAACTCTTGAAGTTTTAACTCAAATGACATCAGGACATTTGTGCTAGGCCCTACAAACACAAAATGAATAAACTTTTCTCTTTAAAAGGTCACAACTGATTATATGATACAATGAGACACTAAACGTAGAAAGAGTTGGAGTGGGAAGGGAAGAGCACAAGGAGGTAATCAGGAAGGCTTCCCAGAAGATACATTATAACTACGCTGGCTAAACATTAATAGGAGAATTTAGGAGAGGAAGGTGAGCTGCAGCTCCTGGCTATTAAATGCATCACATCAGAGCCCTGTAGCAGAAAGAGAAAAATGAGGCTAGTGAGGAAAACACAATGAAATCCCCAAGCTTGTATCAAAGCATCGTGCCTGAAAGAGAGTAAGAAGCGACAATAAAGACAAATGGCTGGTAATGCTTTAATGTAATTAAATTACTAGCTCACTTTACCATACAGAGCAATTGCCTTTTCCTCACCACCTTCATGAATTTGATAACTACTTACTAAAATAAATTATATCTCTAGCCCTGGCGGGGTGGCTAAGTTGGACGAAGAGTTGTCCCACACAAAAAAGTGGTGGGTTCAAGTCCCAGTCAGGGCACATACCTAGGTTGTGGGGAGTGTACAGGAGGCAACCAATTGATGTTTCCCTCTCATGTAGATGTTTTTCTCTCCCCTTCCTTCTCTCCTTAAAATCAATAAACATAGCCATGGGTGAGGACTAAAAAAAATTATATCCCTAACAATTAAATATAATTAAAGGTGCTACATAACATGTATCAAAATGCTTCTGAAATATATTTAAATGAGATTCTGGACAGGATCATTTCAACCAGATTTAATATTCTAAAAACGCATAATACTTAGTCCAACATATATAATTCAGGTGTGCCATTAAAGAGTTGCTGTGTAATAAACCTGAATTACAGAATCTTAAACCTTTGAACAACTATAAAACCTGAAACCTTTTTTAAGTGAAAGTATAGTATGCATTTTATGGTGGCACCTACTGGCAAAGGGTAGAAATGCAGCCAAACTATAGCTAAAAGGGCCAACGGGAAACCTGGCAGTGAGGAGGGAAGTGTGAGAATGGCTTCTTGAGTTTTCTTCCCGGCCAGCCTATTCCCCATCCTTCTTTGGATTCAAAGATTACTGTGATTCCCTATCACCACCACCCTATTACAAGACAAGTAGTACAAACTCATCCTCAGTTACAAGAGTTGAATAATTTTTTTTTTTTTTAAAATACATCTTTACTGATTTCAGAGAGAGGAAAGGAGAGGGAGCGAGAGAGAGAGAGAAACATCAATGATGAGAGAGTAATTGATCGGCTGCAGCCCATAACCCGGGCATGTGCCCTGACCGGGAATCGAACCCTGATCGCCTGAATCCTAGGTCGACGCTTAACCACTGAGCCATGCCCGGCCGGGCGAGTTGAATGAATTTTTACCTCTAAGTTTTGACACTGAGAGACAGAGCGATACACGGGCAATAGGTAGAGTACACAGAATTCCTATGCCATGCTGAGGTTTCTGGAGTTTCATCCGTTACCTTATTTGGAATCTTTAAAGGGTTTTAATCATGGAAGTAACATTTGCTGTTTCAGAAAGATCACTGGTAGCAGTGAGGACAACAGGATGGGGCAACGCAAGATTGGAGGCAGAATGAACAAGTCAGAAATAAGTGAAAAAATCCAGGGAAGAAAGAGAGAAAATCTGAAAACAGGCCGTGTAAAGAATGGAAATAAGATAGTAGCTATGGGAATAGAGATGCAAAATACATAAAAAATGTCAAGTAAGAGGAACTGATGGATCTTGGTGACTGAAGGGATAGAGAAAGGGGAAAAAGGAGTTTAAGACTTGTTCTGGGTTCCTGCTGGGTGACTGGAGGGAGAGAGGCTTCATCAAGCCAGGAGAAGCAGGTTTTCAAGGGAAGATGAAGATTTAGCTTGGGAAATGTTAAATTTGAGTTGCCTTTGAGGTAACAACCTATATATAAGTAAAGATATATTTTTGAAATTCAGGAAAGAGGTTTGAATTTCACTGAAATATACATTTAGAATTTGCATATATGCAGTCAAGAGAGGTAGGTAGAATATAAAGAGAATGGAATATCAGAAGTTATGGGGGAAAGAGAGCAAATGATCAAATTTGAGGACTCAAGAGAGACCAAAAACGACGACAATTTGAAGATCAAAAGCGATCCTTGCGAAATAGCTCCGGTAGAGTGGAAACATGTAAAAAGCTAGGTACAGATATGGGACACCTACTGCCAAATTAAAAGTTCAAAGATATTATCTATTAGGTCATTTTCAGTCCTAAACAATCTGTTTCTTCCAGATAAAGACAAATGGTAAACCCTCTTTTCTAAATAAATTTAAATTGAGCATGTCTTTTGACTCTGGCAAACATTTTGGAATCACAGAGAAGCAAAAACTCAGGGGGAAAGGTTACAGGATTATATTTTATTCATTAGCTATCTTTTCTTCTCCCCGGTTTGGTCTGATGACTGGTCACTTCAATAGCTCTTATATCCCTACCTCTGATTCTGTGAAGCTTTAAAGACGGAGTAATACCACGTTTGTACTTTATGAAAAGTCATTACCTTGGATTCGATATTTCTCCAAGGATCTCATCTAATTTGTCAATGAAATTAATAAAATTAGACAATCCTTTCATGTGTGTCCTTAAAGGATCAGACGGCGATGGTGCGTATCCTTTCCCTCCAAGCTCCATTGTCCTAATAAACGATGTGGCCACCTATGAATTGAAACAAATGATTCCGCTATGTTTAATGATTTAGTGAGTGAAAACTACAACTTACTTTATGAAGCCGGGAACATGGATATAATCCTGGTTATACAAGTGAAGCACTTTTGTGGCCCACACTACACTTCAATTCAGAAGCAAATAATCAAACACATGGGTGCCATGCAGAATTCATGCCAGCAAAGGTTGGGGGGCAAATTAAGGGCATCAATAGCATGTTCATAAGAGTATACTATTGGCTATAAAGAACTGGTTCGTGAATATATTCTTACATAGATTAAGTAATGGCTACTGGAATTGTTGCACAGAACAAAGGGGTTTTCAGCATCAACTGTGTTGATTTATTTAAGGTGGGCAATTAATTCAACTCTTCCAAGCTATAGCTTCTTTATATATAAAAATAAAGATTTAGGCTAGATAATCACTAAGCCCCATCTAGTTTCACATCCTAGGATTATGTGACCACGTGTAGTTCAAAGGCCTTGTCTTTACAATGATAAAAATACATAGATGATCACTAACTATAAGAGCATCTCCACCAAAACAATGTTCTAAAGCAGTATTTTCCAGAATGTATCCTTAGAAAAACAAATTCAATGAAAAGTTCCACAGTAAGATAACTTAGGAAACCAAAGATTAAATAACAAGTTTAACTTAAGCAGATTTCTTTAGCAGGATTTCTCAAAATTTTGAAATACAAACATGAATTTATGTATATCCAATGAAGGTACATACTATTTCCAAACTTTTTCTCTTGGAAACAGTTATTCAAAAAGCATGCAACAGGGACTTTCTGCCTTCGGCTAGCACTGTATAGAATACATACAGGAAAGCACTGCTTTAGGGAAATTCTCCCTTGTCAAACGTGAAGGATATGACAAAACAATAAAAATACTATGGATTTTCAAATGCAGAAGTAGGACATCAAGTAACAGTTTAGAAGTTATTTTATCATAGTTATAAGAATTCTACATCAAGGTACATGGATCCACTGTTCAAAGAGTCTTTATTTAAAAAATCTTAAAAATTGAACAGATCCATACCAGAAAGATAGACATCTGTTTCTCTCGAGCAGCATGTTTCAGATCAGTGAAGGCTTCTCTTCCAAGTCCTCGATCAGGAATATTGAGAATATGAGCCAGAGCCAGGTCATTCTTTGAATTCACTAGCAGGTTTAAATATGAGTAGAAAATTTTCTTTGCTAGTAACTTCACCTGCACAATAAAATAGTATTTTCTTTATTGAAATTGTTCTAAATCCATCATTTTTTTATATGCAGTAAAAATACTTATGACCATTCAATGACAACATCTCACTCAGATCTTTGGGAAAAAGAAATGACAAATAAACCAAAAGTCTGGGCTGGACAATTAACATGTTCTTCTTGCTCATAAAACCAACCTGCTGCAATGAAAAGCTATAAGTAAATACCAACTATCATAATCACTGGAAAATGGCTCTTAGAAAATGATATATAAGATACAGTCCAAAGTCTGCATTTCTGGTGAGGCCTGATTTCATCCCCCCCCCATACATATGCCAATAAATAATGGCCAATAATGAAGCCCCCTGAAGTCTAGGGCATGGATCAACTGACACTGTTTGGCCCTATGTCCCTTTCAGGGCTAGATATAAGGGCTGACATTATATGGTTAAAATTTTGGAGAATTAAGATACTGACTTTGACAATACCAAATAATCAAGTAAGTTAAAATGAAAAGGTTCAACCAAACGCTAAGCAAATAATAGCAAATAGTTGATGTTGACATTAACTGGACAAAACAAAGCTATAGACCATTCAAGCACGAGATGCACAATATTTGAGAGCACTTGATATGGGCATCATTTCTTTCATATATACTGTTACTTGTCCTTCACAATCAAATGATAAAACAGGGCATAAAGAGAGGTAAAGAGGTAGCAACAAAAAATTAAAAATCATTAGGAAGTCTTTTAGATAATTATTAAGGATGTCTCAAGTTCATATGAATCTTAAAAGCGCTTTTAAAGATAACACCCTTTTGAATTATTTAAATTCCATGTGAAAAACAATTCTTGAAACATGAGACAGTCGGGGTCAATTTAAAAAAAAACTTCATTGAACAGGATAAGGTTACGTTGGATATGGACTGAAAATGCAATTTAAGCAAAACTGATTAAATGAAGAAGTCTAAGTATTAACTCTCTAGAACTTTTTTCTTACAAGCATTTATCATCTTTGCAAAGAGCTTCCCTAAGTTCCCAATATAAAGTAGCCATCCATCCACATACTTGCTTAGTGCCCTGTTACAACTCTGTATGTCAGTCAATTACATAATTCTCTGCATAGATCTTAATACTTTCTGATATTTTGTTTATTTTCTTTATATTTCTACTACTTTATGAGTTCCATGAGAGCAAATGATGTATCCTTAAGGCACAAAAGAATGATTGGCATTATATTAGGAAATCAATCCATTTCTGTTAATAGGTTCTGAATTAGTTTTTGTTCAATGATGAATGAAAGAAAAATTAACACAAAATTAAAGGCCCTTTTAGAAATTCCAAAATTGAAACTTCTGTGGGATCAAATGAGTGCCCCTGTTTTTACTGCATTGCCTTAAAAAGCAAAGTACTTTAAGGTACAATTAAATTAAAATCATCCTTAAGATCTGTCCTAAAGTTTTATAAACTAAGATATGACAGTTCTCTGCTTATATTACAAAGGGCCTTTTATCTTTACTTTTGCAAAAAAATCACAATACTTCATGTGAATCTATAATACAAACATTTCCATATTAACTTCAAAGAGCAACAGTACGTCAAAACGTCTCTCTCCTTTATCCCTTTGATATTGGGATGAGTAACACAATTTGCCAAAAATCAAGGCAGAGAAACAGTGACATTCACACTGCAATCAGAAACGTTTTAATTTTTTCCACATTTAATTTCATAAAACCACAATTTAGTTTCACTGTGTTTCTACTGTCCCAAAACAATGAGGATTTATCAGTATGTATATATCTGACCCTTACTGGGTACAAAATTGTCACACCTACAACTTGCTCTTTAAGGCTAACAGACTTTGTCTTTCTGATGCTAGGCAAACATCAGGGGAACATCGTGGAGTCTTCACAGTTAGTGTGTTTCTTTTAACTCATAGCTGTAATTAGAAATCTGTCTCTGTCATTATGGTCAGATAACATGGCACTTATGGTTTCCCTGCTCTTGTATTTGCAAGCAGGTTTTAAAGAGGCTCTCTGGAAAAGCATTCCACATAAATACAGTGATGATGTCCAGAAGCAAGGGCCTAAATTGAAAAAATCCACAAGATTGAAGCTTTTACCAAGTTTATTATTTGTTTAATAAACTGATTCTATCCATACCACAAAGTATTTGCAATGTTTGTTTAGAAGTTGAACAACTTTAAGCTTTCTGAAAACTCCAAGTTTCTTTTCCTATCCCTTAATTATTACTGGAGTACAAATATTTAATCTCAATTTGAAGTCAGTTTTTCTAAATTAAGAAGATTAATAATTTATACAGGTATTTTTTACTTTCTTTGCCAACATATAAATTATATATAATGACCCCAGAAAAGTTGGACTAAAACTAATATACTGGTAAAAATTTTTATTTAACTGATTATTTCTTTTGGGGCCTTTATTGTACTTTTCCCTTCATTGCTTCAGAATTTCTAAAGTAATAGTTTAGTACCTTAAGAAAAATAAAATGAAGTAAAATAAAAGAAGGAAACAAAAACAATGTTTTTCATATTCATTCCATTCATCTATTTAAGGACTCTTGTGTGGCATTAGTAAGCACATTTGGTGATAAAAATAAATCTCTGCAAGACTGCAGCCCAAAAAGTTACTCTGGAATTTTAAAAGAAATACATCGCCTTCCAAAAATATTTTGCAAAAAGAAAAATTAGAAGTCTGCAAGGAAGAGAAAAATGGCTTACAGGATGGCTGCTACTTTAATAGTCCTCATAAAATCTAATCCATCAGCTAAGTAGTAGATAAAATTCTCCTGGAAAATACAACCAAAGGAGGCAAGAGATAAAAAGTAGAGGATTAACACAGTGAAACTACTATTGCTTTTTTAAATGAGAAAATTATATGCTTTTAACGAAGACAGATCGGTTTCTATAAACTATAACCCTTTTTCACAGGTATACCTTTAAGATAATATTTTATATCTGTAAGCCAAAACTCTAAAAAGCTTAGGTCATTTTACATATACAAATTAGTTCATTCCTAATTAAAAAGCATAATAACAATTGTTTCCTCCCTGTAGAGCTTGTAAAATAGATAAAAAAGAACAGATCTGTAACCGATCTACCCTTTTGATGTATGAATGTACTCCGTAAGTACCACTGAGAAAAGACCAAGTAATTTAGTAAGTGTCCTGTCAAGATTTAGAGCAGGAGGAAGAAAAAAGCAGAATGTAAGTGAAGCACTCATTTCAAGCAAGAGAAAATGTTACAAATCACTAAAAGGAATCACAAATCTTAGTAGAAAATGTTCAAAGGTAGATGGGATATTTTCTTGTGCCAGAAAGGTGGGAGTGCTCAAAAGTCTACAAGGGCATATAAAAAAGATACAGAAGGTAGCTTGAAGGGGATCCCTCTACTTTAGCATCAAAGATTAATGGCTGCAATCAATTTTAAAACCCTAAATAAATAAAACTCCATGAGTCCTTAGCAATATATACACACATAAAAAAGAAGATACATATAAAAAATACCTAATTTACCTCCTATAGTATACATAACTATTATAACAACTCCTAAAATGGTAATTAAAGAGAAAGAATTAAGTAGTGACCCCGCCATTTTCAGGGAACCGTACTTCATCACAGCTGATAAGACTAAGCTCTTCTTTATTGAGAAATGGTAGTTAATTAATGTAAAGACATGATAGAGTTAGACACTTGCCATTCTGCAAACTCTAAAGAAATAATTGATTTAGACAAGCATGATCAATACATGCTTAAAACTATTCGGGAAAGGTTGTTGGGAAAACACAGTGACAAAGTAACAACCCACAGATATTTGCTGATGCAAAGGGAAAACCACTTCTTTATACTGGAGAGACTGGACGATTCAATACAACTTGAGTTTCTCCTGATATGATACAAAATGAAATCAGTATCAGTTATAAAGTATTTGTGAAGAACTTTTAAACCTCAAAGAAAGCTTTTAGATGTAACTCCCAGTTTATTGGAAATAGAGAAACAAGTTAAATAGTACCAGTAGGAATTAATCAGATAAGTAAGAAGTAAACAAAGGCTGAGGGGAATTCTCCTAGGTCAAGAGTCTAAAGAAACATAAAATCCATTTTGGGGACAAATGGAGAAATGCGAATAGGGAAGATAGCAGATGATATCAGGGGATACTTAAGTTTTCTTATATAGGATACTGATATAGTGGTTAAGCCCTTATTTTCAGGAAATGATGTGCTGAAGACATTTAGGGATTAAGTGTCATGATATCAGCAATTTAACTTTTATACAGGAGAGAAAGATTATTAGATACAGATATAAAGTGAATTATTAAGTCTAAAACGTAAGTATATAGGTATTGATTTGAGGGCAGTGATAAAATATGTGTTTAAAAGTGTTACCTATCTAGCATGGGACTTATGAGAGAATCTGAAAAATGAAGAAGGTGATTCATCAAACACGTTAACTTACTGGAGCACCTGGGTTTGGAACCTTTTATATATTGTATTTTTAGATATGTTGAATGTAATTTTACTTCAACATATCTAAAACTACTCTTAAACTTTTATCTTGTCAATGGTGATTTTATTAACCAGAGAAACTTTCATAAACATACCTCCCACGGTTAGTGAGGGATTACTATATTTAATTTGGGACCTAGCTTTACCAGCTGAAAGTAAATTATGAGACCAAACCTGTACTTGGCACTGCTTTTCTGTGGTGTGTTTGTACAACAAACCCTGTTATCAGAACTCATGATGCATCAGTTATTCTACTGCAAAGGGTACAGAGCAGATTTTTCCAATTGTACATATCTTCCCAAGAAAAAAACGTGTAAAGCAGTAATTGTGAAGTTTACCAAATACAGTCAGCTCTCTGTATCCACAGGTTCTGCATCTGCGGATTCAACCAACCCCAGGTGGAAAATAGTCTAAATTTTAAAGTTATGTTGTTGCTGATGTGTACTATGTAGTTAGGCTACGATGACTACATCTGTACTGAACATACACAGATTTTTTTGTCATTTTTCCCTAAACAATACAGTATAACAACTATTTACATAGCATTTACATTGTATTAGAAATTAAAAGTAATCTAGAGATGATTTAAAGTAAACAGGAAGATGTGTGTAAGTTATGTGCAAATACAACATACATCATTTTATGAAAGGGACTTAAGCACCTGTGGATTTTGGTATCCGAGGATGGTCCTGGAACCAATCCCCCATAGTTACCAAAGGACACTACATAAAGATTCAAAGAACTCTGGCAATCTGGACCTTCAACCAGTTTCTGATACTTAGAGAGATACCTATCCTTGCACAGTACCTATTACCTTGGCCCCAAACCATGTAGTAACTGATTGTTATGCTTTCGCTAGTCTCCAATGTATTACTCTTTGCAAATAGTTTTATTTAAACTAATTAAAAACTTTCAAAAAATTAAAAATATAGTAGCTATATGTACAATCAAATTCATAGTGATTTGAAGGGGATCACATTCTGCTTTAATTTACTCATAACTTATCGGTACCTTTTCATTACCCTGGGTGTGTTTACTCATTGGTGACGTTGGTACACAAGGATCAGTTTCATCATCTACTGCAGACTGTCTGCCAGACAGAAAATCCCGTAGTTGACTCTGCCGGAAATACAGGACATTAATAATAAAATGCTATGCCAACTATAAAAAAGATCTCACACCTAGCTCTACCCAATGTCACTGATGTTCCAGTATATAGTGTATTAGCTGGCCTTGGTTGGCAGTCAACAATATGTAGACATGGAATTAAACTTCCTAACAAAATGTTTCAGTTAATTTCCAGTGGCACCTGTACTCACAGACGTTTACAAGTTTAGGGTTAAAAGATGACCTTGGAAATTTAATCTTAGTCTTTTATTTTTTATGGAAGAAGAAAATTAAAAAGAAAGTCTTGCTTCTCTCTCTTTCTAACTCTCTAAAATCAATCAATAAATACATTTAAAAAAAGAAATAATGCATTTCAGACTGATTTCTTTGTTAAAAAATTTTGTATCTAGTAAGAAGCTATTCTTACATTTAAACCAAATAACAACAACACAGGTTCAACAAAATTTACCACCAAAACCTTTCTTTCAAGTAATGACTAGCTTTCAGGTAGCTAAATTTTCCATTCTTAAGATGATCCAAAGAGAAAAAGCATTATCAAGTTACTATAAGTGCTAATACCAGAGTTAAAAATAAGTCTAGTCTAATTTTAATTTGATTTAGAATTGTTTTAAAAAATACTTACGGGGGATATGTTGGCATTATTTTCACAATTAGAAGTCAAAACACTACATTTTTTATAAACATCGATCAGATCTAACATATTACTATTCTTTAAGAAATTATCGTAAGTCCTCCTAATGTCCTCATAATGGTCAATTGTTTCCATCTTTTCAATGGGTAAGTTCAATTTCTCATGTAGTAAGTGTTTCCAGCTCAATAAGACATCGCTGAGAGAGACCGTGAATTCTCCACTGTGCTGAAAAAGATAATGCCAAAAATAAAAAGGTAAAGTTGGGTGCCAGAATATTGATAAAGTTATAATTGAGTTGTGATGTATAAATTTAATTTTGTATTACATTCTTGTGAATTTGAAGAGAACATCTAAGTGGACCTATGAAATAATTTTAAAACCAGTTATTAAAAATAAGATTTTGATGATTTTATAAAGTATGAACAACTACAGCCAATTTGCATATGACAAAATGGGCAAATATATAGGCATTGTCTATTACCTGAACTTCACTAAATTTCTACCCAAAGTGGGGCGACAGGTGGGCACTGAGCTGTAAGTAAGTACTACTGACCAGGAAACATTCGATTCTGTTAATATGTAGTTCCTATCCATGCTTTTAGCCAATTTTTAATCTCTTATTTTAAAAGTGTCAATGCCACAGTGAATTCCCACATACCACACATGCTAGTCCAGTGTTAGTCTTAAAAGTGATTATAAAAATTAAATTTTTAAAAATTATGTTTCATTTCACTACTCTTCCAGAGAAAGCAAAATACCAGGGCTAAAACCTGAGTCAAATAATTTTTATTCTTCCCTGCTTAGGGACACACTAAACGAGTGCTAAAAAGTCAGTCAGGTTTCTTTCCATAAATTGTTAGATGGTACTAATCAAGCAAAATTGTTCAAAATTGGAATTTTGAAGGTTTTTTTTTTAATTGATTGCATCCCGCTTCCATTTTATATCCCAAATATTAATAATGGTGTCCTCCACAAAATGCCAAACCGATTTAGTAAAAAATTCTAACTGTTCCTTTTCAATGCTCCATGAATAACAATTATTTTTAAGTATCCCTATGTGGTTTTGTGAAATGTATCAATGCTGCTCTCTTCTACAGTTAAGGTCCATTAATATGCTAGTAGTTTCTGCAAACACCTACATCTTTCCATTACAGTAACTGCATTTAAAGATGGGTGGATATTAAATAGAACTATAATTCACTGGAACTAAACTGTAACATCATATTTAGCCAATGAAGAATAAGGAAAAGAAATGAAACAGAACCCTATAACATAGTACTATTTCTACATATCTGACTCTCTCATACCTGCATCTCTATATCTTTTATAAAGATCAGTCACATTTTCCAGTTACTATCCAAATTTAAGACAAAGTGTACAACCTGCCTTAAAATAATTAACTCTCTACTCATCCATATGAAAACAGCTAAGAAAATTATCCTTATTTTCCTTAGAGTAGGGACCTGTGATATCATAATTATGGACATTAATTATATTTCACAAAACTAGTTCAATGAACAAACAAAAAAAATCTTTAACTCTCAAACCTTAGATCCATAATCCAAACACAAGACAATTTGTAATTTCTCAGCACTGAATCAAAAATTGCATACTTTACTCCCCAAACCCACAAAGGTTACATACTATTTAATCTCCATATGGTATTTAAGTTAAATAAATCCAGTTATTTAGAGTTTCAAAACTAAACTGTTTTATCTCAAAAATCTTAAAACTATTTTGATATAACATCCTTCATGGTAAAAATAAATTAAGATTTTGCTTAATGTAAATGTATAATCTAATCTCATTCTGTTGATTGTAACTAATTTAAGAAAAACCGTGCAAGCTCTTGATCTTGTGAGAAAAGCCTCTGACTAGATTAACAGTATTTATACTGAGACTGTAAAAACATTTTAAATCCAAATAAAATTGCACTCCAGATATCAGTTTTCATGATCAGGTGCCCACCATGACAGCATATTCTGTTTTTCAAACCGGTAACAACTGATTGAGAGAGAGTCTGTGGTCAAATCAGAAAATGTTTTGCTAAGAAAACATGCCAGCTGGCCACTATTTGATGAAGGAAGTTCAAAATGTTCAATGCTTTAATTCTTTGATGGACATAAGGAGGATTCCATTTCACAAGAATAAAATGAGAAAAAGCAAGAGTTACACTTTTTCAGAGCTCTTGTACTTTGCATATTTTATCAAAGTTATTTTTACAATTATTCAAAATTTTAAATAAACTTTACATGTTTAACTAACTTGGAATTTTTATTAGCAAAAGAGAAAAGAAAGCAGGTCTACCTAAGAGCATTAATTTGCTGTGTGAACTTGGGTGAGATATCGAAATCCCTCTGAGTCAGTTTCCTTGATTATAAAATGAGATTGTACATATTAAATAACACCTTATTTAGGCAATCAGAAACATCAGTTGTCTTTCTTTTCTTACTCTAAGTAAAATAATTGTTAGTCTGTTTGCTGGGGGAGGAGTGGTATTTAAATGTAATTCAATTTTTAAAAATCTGCTGCTTCTTGTTATGTCTCCGCTAGGTGATTTTCACAGCTGACAGTCAACCACAGGTGCTGTGATTGCTTTCCAGGAAGTTATAACATTAATATCTTTGTCTGGTTCATCCAATAGAACACTTGTAATGTTCTTAAGGCTTTCAAGGCGAAAAACAGCCTTTATAACGTAATTGCAAAACAGAGTCAACCTGTGAAGCCAATTCCAAAGAGAGGAAATGCTAAATTATTATTTGCAACCTAATGAAGTCATATATATTAGCCATATAATGAAGTCAATAGTGAATGAATCTATCACAGGTTAAATCTTTAGCAGAATAAAACTGCTAGAGAGGTATTACATGATTTAAGCTAAAAAAATTCCTCCTCCTCTGAAAGCATGCCAAAAACCTAAAACTCAGATTATTTTAATATACCTTTTCTTTTTCCCCACTAAAGCAGGTATTCAGAGGTTTTACTGCAGTCAAATTCAGTGATAGCGAATATACTGTAGGGACTCATGTTCACAAACTTCAGAGACTTAAAAACCCAAACAAGAACACAAACCCAGGGTGAAAAATATAGGTGGAGGAAACATATAGCCACTCCACCCTTTTATTACTGTATGCTACTTATGAGTGCACCTGCAGGCACAGGTGTATGCTGTTTCATACTGCTGAGTGACTGGGAAGTCTGAGCACCGCTGGGAATGCCTAAGCTTAGTCTGTATACAGAGAGTTGAAGTAAAACTGAACTGCAACCCACCCTCTCCACTGCATACCTGTGCACACCTACACAAACTGTGAAAAGCTCAGTTGCAATTCACCACTCCCCCTTTTCCCACCCAGAGTCTGAACTTTCACAGTGAATAAAGTGAGTTAGCAAGTAGAACATGAACAAGTAGGAAGAAACCCTGAGTGAATGTTGCACAGGCAAGTCCCGAAGAATAACTGACTTGGGTGGATTATTTTAATACGTTAAATTTTTCTACAATGAGAACTAACATTTTTCCAGGCTACATTCTACTTAGCTTGTTGATATATTTACTTTTCAATTATTTATACACAAGCAAACAAACAATAGATGATTTGAACATGCTCTCTTTGATTTCAGAGCAGCAGCCTTCAATCACTAGACAGTGATTCTTAATAATTCCCTCAATTCCTCTCTCTCGTTTCCCAGTGCACATATGAAGGCTTTAATTTTGAAACAAATCATTTAAAATCCAATCGCAATTTTTGACACAGGTATACAGAAGCATTTGTGAAAATAGTATGTTGATATTATCATAGGAGGGCATCTATTGCAAAGAAATTAATGTAATGAAGTTTATTCAAATAGGCAGCAACCAAAACTCACTTTTTAAAAAAAGCTAACCTAAATACAGCCTACTAACCTGTTTGTTGTTCTCTGCGATGGAAAGCTGCAATGCCAAGAGCATGGAGTCTGCCCCACATACAGTAGTTCTCTCAGAGTCACAAAGAGTGTGCCAATTCCTTCTGAACTCTTTAATCATATTTAAGACAGACTCCTGATGAAGCACAGTCATCCTCTTAAAGTAGGGCAGAATGCAATGTTAAAAGGCCTTATTTTAATTGGAAATTAATACTTAACATGTATCAGCAAGCAAGAGTTAGAGAAAAATAAGCAATGACCAAGAGATCATTTCATATTTACTAAGATTGCTTTTAATTAAATTTAGGAAAACAGAAAACAATTTCCACCCAATTGCATTTTCCTCTCCTTTAGTTTTCTTAAGCCAAATCTTTTGAAATAACAAAAGGTAACTTTCGATCTGAAAATTCATACAAAACAGATAGAACAATTCTGCAAACTTATAATTATAGACACATAGCTAATTAAAACTGTGTTTAAAAATATTTTTCGAGATAGATGATAATATTTGTAGTAGATTGGGGAGGGGGAAGTCCAATTTCATCCCATCGTTATATTATCCCTTTGAATGTGAGTCAGCCTTGTGACTTGATTTGACCAATAGAATGTAGCAAGAATGGCACTGTGGGAGTTCCAAGACTAGACCTCAAAAGGCCAGTGCAGAAAAGAGTTAATACAGCAGACCTGACTGCTATCCTTTGAAAGTCCTGCTTAAAGGGCTGGCCCTTGGTTGGCATCTGGGAACTTAGATTTCAGAAGGGTTTCCGGTAAGAGTGGCTCACTGTGCTTAAACTGCTTGTACAAACAATATAGTTTATGCTGAACACATAGGTTCCTTCTGAGTTTGGAATTCTGGAACAAAGATAGGATGCCTAAGTGTTCAGTAAATACCCTGGGCACGGAATCAGTAAAGAACTTCCCTGATAGACAACATTTCACATGTCATAACTTGTTGATAGAGGAATTAAGCATGTCTTATGTGACTACACTAAGAGCACTTTTGGAAGCTTGTTCTTGGTCTCCCCTGGGCTTTGCCTCATATACTTTCTTTATTTTGCTTAGTATCTTTCTGTTGTTATAAACTATAGCCATGAGTATGACTATATGCTGAGTTCGCTGAGTTCTCTGAGCAAATCATCCAACTGGAAGGTGGTCTTGGGGGCCGACTGCGTAAAACCTTGAAGCTTCAGCTTTCATTCTCTTGCTGTGTTGAGACTACCATATGAAGAAGTCCAAGCTAGCCTGTTGGAGAAGCCTTATAAGGAGAACTAGGTGCTTTGACTAACAACCAATACTAACTCACAAACATGCCAGTGAGGCTATCTTAAGACTCTCTAGCCCCAATCAACCTGCCAGATTAACTGCAGCCACAAGAGTGATCCCAGGCAAGACCAGCAGAACTACATAGCCGAGTCCAGCCCAAATTACTGATCCACAGAATCATAAGCAAGTATGTTGTTTTAATGCCACTAAGTTCTGGGGTGGTTTGTTACACAGCAATAGATAACCAACACAGCAGCTAATATGTAGGAGCTTTCTTGGTGCCAAATACTTTTCAAAAGCTTAATATTTATAAACTCATTCAATCTTCACAAGAGACCTATGAAGAAGGTCTATTATTACCCTCATCTTGTATCTGAAAAAAGTGATGCCCCATGTCACTTAGCTAGCAAAAGTTCAAACAGACCTAAACCCAAGATGCCTAACTTCATAAGCTGTGCTCTGAAATTACTCTATTACATAACTTCTCTTGATAAACAAAAGTCTTTCAAAAGAATTGGATATAGTTCCAATGTTTTATGCACCCAAGCCTGCATAAGGCATCAATTCCTTTCTCCGAGTTTACAGACATGCCTGCTATTGGTTGTCAGTTTTTTTCCTACTTTAAGTACTCCAATCTCCAACACACTCACAAGCCATTATCTTATTTTGGGTATTTTACTATACTCATCCCATTTATTTACTCCTTCTGGGATCTTTTTCTTCTTTTTTTATGTGACATAAACAAAATCCCAATGTATCTTGGGTGTCTCTGATCAAGAAAATGGGCATATGCCACTTAAAAAATAATAATTTATAGACACAATCAGTGATGCAACTTAAATTTACAGGTATAAGACTAAATTAAAGTATCTACTTAAATACAAATCCTAGTAAATAGCTAAGAATTATATTCCTCTTAAAAATATCACCTCATCTCTTATAAGAAATAAAAAAGAAAGTGAAGTAACGCTTCTGTGATATGATCAGTTTGCATGAAATAAATCTTCAGTAGTAAATTACTTACTAGTGTTATTTAAAGGTACTGAGTTCAGATTGCTGAAAATGAGGACGAGTCTGCAATTATGCTGTTCTGAATCCTGGCTTCACCCCTTTCTAGCTGTGAGATCTTTGCCAAGTTAGGTGACCTTTCCCAGCCTCAGCTTCCTTGCACTGAAAAACAAAAATAATAACAGTTACTATCTCGTCAGGTTTTGTAAAAGTAAATGACATAAATATAAGTTAAGCTTTTAGAACAGTGCCTGGCACATATAAGAGCCAACAGCCTCATCTAGGGGTCAGTACACTTTTTGGAAAGGGCCCAATAGTAAATATTTGAGGAGTGCAAGCCATACAGTCTCCATCACAACTACTCATCTTGACCCTGCTGTGTGAAAATAGCCACAAACAATACATAAACAAATGAGCTTCAACAAAACCTAATAGGAACTGAAATTTGAGTTTCATATAATTTTCACACATGACAAAATATCATCCATCTTCTGATTTTTTCCCCCCCAACCATTTAAACATGTAAAATCCATTCTTAGCTTGGGAACTGGCTGTACAAAAACAGGCAGTGCCACAGACAGTTGCCATCCCTGATCTAGTCTCAGCTCTCATCCTAGTAGATAGCTGGCTGTGTGCCTCGGCAATGAGCTTTACACCCGACTGCCTAGATAGAGATATCATCAAAAAGGAAACAGGAATAATGCCTTCCAGCCAGTTATGAGGAGTCAGTGAGACGACGAACACGCAATTCCTTTCAATGTCAGGCTGCACTATGAAAAAACAGTAGTGGAAGGCGGCAGCGATAATAAACACTTGGTTTTTTTAAAAGCAAAACAAAACTGGATTCCAAGCTGCACCGGAGCAAAATTGTGAGATAGGAAATTGTCACTGGGGAGGCAGCGTGGGGTGATTAAAAGAACTATACTTTTGAGTCTGAGAGACCAGAGTCCACATCCAGACTCTCCCATTTATTAGCTGTATGCCCTTCGGTATTAAAAAATCTCTGATGAGCATATACTTCATCTGTAAAACGGGGAGGATATCTCTCCTATCCCATAAAATTATGAGACATTCGGGAGACAAATAATCCACCTAGTGCCAAACACTTAATAGGTGCTCAATAAAAAATGGGAATCGTTGCTGCTATCACTGTCAGAATGCAAGTCCAAAAAGTTCCTCCAGAGGATACAACAGGAAGAGAGCGAATACAGCAGAACTGGAGTCTGCGTAGGTTTGGGGACTAGAACCCCGATTCCTGACATAACTAATGATCCTAAAGAGTCCGCAATGGGCCTGGCCTTCCGGCTCCACCCACTACTAGACACTGTGGGACCCAGACCCAACCTGGCTCCAGAACGAAGCCCCCGCACAAATACCTTTAACGGCGCTTTCCTGTCACCGAAAAACCCGCGGCTTGAACCACCACTCAACGAGTGACAGATGGGTGAGGAAGAGGTGAGGCTCCCCTGTCTCGGGGCAGAGCAGGGAGACGCAGCCCCGACGGAGGTGAGGTCCGCCCCAGCCCCACTCCCTCCGCAGTTTGAGCCTCGCGGGTTACATTTTAAATCTCGCGGGAGGGCCTGCGAGCCAATCGCCGCTGCCGCCCTCTGACCCGGAAGCAGAGTCGACGGGAGGCGCAACAGCCCCCGGCGGAGACCCGCTTCCGTCTGGCTGATTCCCGGTGCGTATCGCGGAGCCCAGGGGGCCAAGCCGCTGTGCCACCGAGCGCCCCGCTCTCCCCAGGCGGTTCTCCACCCCTCTTTCCTCCGACCTGGGGCTCAGGGTAGCGGGTAGCGGGGTCTCGGGGACCTACCTGGG